TTTTAAATAAAAAACGTTTGTGATATAACAGAAAATATCTTCATTCAGAAACGATTTAACTTTAAGATTGAATCAATATTCTTATTTTTCATAATAAATTTTATGCACTTGGCTCTAGGCCAGGTGATCACACACTACGTCTTTACTTTAGGCTTATTATACCAACACTCACTACACTTATAAGGTTTCACGGCACGTACACACCCTCACGGCCCCCTTGCACCCCGTCACTAAAATCGTAATGGGTGGACAGTAATCGATCAATTCTATATGGATAAATGCATTTTGGTATTCATGACTCCTCCGACTTCGAGAAATCAGACGCGAAGTGACACGCGCTGGCTTTTGTATAGGTTAGATTGTTGAGACTACTCAGTATAACTTTTTGTACTCAGACATAAAGAATCTATGCCATACACTTGAAATTTAAATTTACACTAGAATTATGATTTTTTTAAATTACTACCAGTTATTAGTAATATTTATTAAAGCAGACACTCCGTTTGACACCACTGTTTTGGTTTTTGGGTTATCATGTAATAAAAAAAAAGAAAGAAGAAATTCCAACTTTTTGCTATGATATTTACAGACATTCCCAGGACTTGACTTAGCCATTACATAGATATTAAAAGGAAGCACTGTATAGTATTGTAAAGTTTTGATGACCTATTAAGGAGGAATTTAAAATATCATTTCGATGAACAATCTGAGCCATCTCTACACAGGCAGTGCTACCACCTACCTTGATGACCTCTGTTGCTACAATGAGTATCATACATTAGTGAAATAAACAAAGAACCCTGAAAACAGGTATCGTATACGTCAGCTTAAACACAAAACAAACTATTTGTATTTTATATTTACTTGCTACTGACTACAGTTAACCATTCATGTATCAATATTCAATCCACAAATAATGTAAATAGTTCAGCCTAAAGATAAGTGCATGATATGTCGATTTCCAACGTCTGGGCGGACCTGAAATGACCTGTTGTTTAGGACACTTAACTTGCTATCTGAAGGTCGCGGGCTGGAATCCCGTCATCGAACATGCTCGTTCCTTTAGCTGTGGGGGCGTTATAATGTGGTGGTCAATCCAATCGGTAAAGAGTAGCTAAGAGTTCGCGGTGGGTGGTGTTGACAGCTGTCTTTCCTCTAGTCTATTGTTTTAAAATTAGGGACGGCTAGCAATGAGAGCCCTCAAGTAGCTTTGCGTGAATTTTTACAAACAAGCATCCAACGTCTTGGACACACTCTGGTGCCACTCTACAGAACTATTCGCATTCTGGAGGCACACTGTGGAAGTATGACTGACAAGTCACGTTACCTTCCATCCTAGAAAGAATATCACCCACTCTTGTCCAAGATGGTCCCGCCCTCTGAGGCCGTCGTATTGGCAGGTGTGATTTCATTCATTAGGGCTGTACCACCCTTTGTTCATCACACCACAAGTAGGTGGGGCTTTGGGGGGAGGTATAAACATTTGACTGCCTTGTCCCCAAGTGGGCTGGATCTAAGGATTGATCATACCTAGTGGGAAGGACACCTGTCATTCAGAACTGCTCTATTCCAGAAACATTATTACTGATGCATCACGTTGCTTACCATGGCTAGGGTACGACTTGCTTCATGTCTTTTTCTGTATGGGTCTGGTGCTCCAAGTTGATTCATATTCCTTTGTCTTCCAGTGTCATTACGTATAAAGGACATTCACGCTTGGTAATTCTAAATTCTCGATATGAAATACATCGTTATGATCTGAGTGTATGGATAATTTGCATTGAAAAGGTCTGTTGTATACTCTTTCCAAAAGCGTTTAATTATTGGGGGCATCACACTATCTGCGAAACACCAAACAATGTCAAAATGTAGTTCTGATACATTTTGTTTCACCACGATTTTATGGTTATCACGTGTATTGCTGACTTGCATATTCCAAGTCGTTTTTATATAGGGTACTCAACCCTCTGTATTGGGAGGAACTCTAATTTGACTTCACATATGTTTCTGAATTCATGTTTCATCCTTTTAAGGTAATGTGCACATCATTGAATGCTCTTTATATGCATAAGTTAAATAAGGTTGTATAGAAAAACTGAACACATTTAAAAGTAACAGTGCGGCAAATAATTAACCTTGTTAATACCATGCTCTTTTTCTGACGCATTTTGTTTGTCTGTGCGATAATAGAGTGAAGGTAACGGATCATATACATGGTTGTGCACGTGTTTTGATAGAGCAGGTGATAATAACAAGCACGGTATATGTAAACTAACGGGTCCGTAAAGGGTTCGTCTTTATAATGAAGATGACTCACCCTTGACTGTAATGCCTAATCACCTAATTGGTTCTTCGTAGTCTGTTGTAAGAGAACATGAATAGCATAACCACTGTTTCTTAACAACACTGACTTACGAGTCAGGCGATAGTTACAATTAAAACGCATGTAAGTTTTAAAAAAAAAAAACTCTTGCATGGGAGCCTTAAAGTATACTGAAATACACTTTTAGGAAGTTTTTCATTGGTGTTTACAACCGTTTTGAGAAAACGTGGTTGATTAGAAAATGCTTTAGAATTATGATAAGTTAACGTAAGGTTACCTGGTTTCATAACAGTCCTGTGAGTGATCTTTAATGAGTTTAAAACATTTTTTTTTTCACCCCAAAGATTATAAAATAGATAATGCAGTATCTGCGTGTTTCAACAAATTGACATTAACTTCTGATCCAAGTAAGATACTTGCGTAGGTCATAACTGAAAATCCACCTGGAATGGGTATAGCTGACTAGTTATCGTTTACAAAGACTGAAATACATAAAGATTACGGTATAAACGCCGATAACATGGCTAAGTACTGGAAACAATAGGCCTAACATTTGTGTCAAAAATCAGTCTTTTTTTTGCAGTTTATGTGATTTTTGTCACAAATATTAGATCTGTTTATTAGAATCTGTAGTTTTATAAGTCGTGTGCTCTCGTTGTTACCTATATTGTATTGTCCTTAAACCCAATAATATCTCACGAGGTTCCACCACTTTAGGAGATTTAAGTTAGGCCCGAATTCATATACTAACAATGAAAAATAATCTCAATAATAAAAATGTAACAATAATGATGAAGTAAATAATAGAGTAACCTTACTTCGTGTTCCCAAAACTTCATCATTGCTTCATCCTGTGAAAATTTTGTCTCAATCAGTTTAGTAAAACATATATAGTTGGTTATCTTCTGCTGGTTTCACTCAAGCTATGACCGGATTGATTAGTCATGATCAACTTTGAGTGAAGGTGGGTGGATGTCTCCAGTACGTAGTACATTAGTGTTCCACACAGTATATACATTTTTTGTACGATTACGACGCTGTTAATGATCTATTTTAAATATTTTTATCTATTTGTAACCCATGTTTTTCAACATCAGTAGAAATACTTTTTTGTTTATTGCTTACCAAATTTATTTATTCATGCCTTTTATTTTTTTCCCCCCATTGTATTATTTGCGGATTATACGAAATACTGGGCATTATAGACTCCCCGTTTTCGTGAAGTGAGACCATGTTCTAAGCCCTAATCGCCATTAAGCACTATTGCTGGGCCTCGAAGAGCGATATGCTGAGCAGTTTCATTGGAAATCGGCGACCTGTCGATAACAGTGGCGTGATGAATTTTATCGTATAAAGCTTAGGACAAGCCGGTACTTCCCTTCCCTTCTTGCCATCTGTATACGGCTGTACCCGTTAGATTATACCACTGTTCTGTGCAAAAATGTCATTGAAATCTAGTTTCTGCTTATATGATGTATTATAAAATGAGTTTTTGTTGAACTCAGTATTTCATTTATTCATGTTTGCTGCCGTAGTTGTTGTTTTGTTTGTGATAGAAAACGTTAGATTTACAGCAACATCGTCGATAAAGTTTCCAGTTTTGTTTCAAGTTTATTTTCAGCTGAACTGGTGTTTGGCTGGCTAGATATCTGAACTACAGAAACTTGGAAGAGATTGCTTGCTACCCGCCTTATATTTCAGTATATTAATTTTAACACAATCAAATATTTTATACATGTATCAACATACTGCAAATGAAAGATTGCATTTGCGATGGAAAGCCTATTTTTCATGTCGTGTTAGCGAAACAAAAATCGCGCTCCGATTATTTGGACCGTGGATACGTTACAAGAGTAACAGTCAAATCTTTCTATGCCATTTGAGTAGCCCAAGAGTTGACAGCTGGTGTTGTTGACTAGCTGCCTTCTATGTGGCTTGCGCAGATGGCCTTCATTTGTTTTTGCGCGAATATCCGAAACAAACAGGTTAGGGGGTTAACCACATATAATCAGAATAATTTCTTTAACATTAGCAACGGTCGATATAATAAAACGAAACTAGAACCATATTCCTTAAATATTAGTGCAAACATACTTGAAAGGGATGAGTTTTATTTTGGATATAAAATTCTCCTCATTTTGTTTCAGGTGGTTATGCCACAAAAAGTGGGCGACGTATACCTGTATGATGTGCCAGTGGGAACGAGAATAACAGAGGAATATGACGTACCTCCTACGCGATATGGTGCTTCGTTGAACCATTCTCTCCCCTACGACATTCCTCCAGGTTCACAAGGTTTGTATTATTATCTATACTTGAACATACTTCTCTGTTACAGTAATACAATTGATAAAAAACACTTAGTTTTTACCCCATTTTTCTTGGTAAAATCGTGATTATAGAACAGAATAAATGTTACTGTTTGACTTGCAATTCAACATTTACTGACAATTATTCACAACAGTAACGTGTGGCTAGTTACTGTTAGGATACCGTGGTATGTAACATATCGCAACTGCTGACAATTATTCACAACTGTAACGTGTAATTAGTTACTGTTAGGATACCGTGGTATGTAACAGTATCGCAACTGCTGACAATTATTCACAACAGTAACGTGTGGCTAGTTACTGTTAGGATACCGTGATATGTAACAGTATCGCAACTGCTGACAATTATTCACAACAGTAACGTGTGGCTAGTTACTGTTAGGATACCGTGGTATGTAACAGTATCGCAACTGCTGACAGTTATTCACAACTGTAACGCGTAGTTAGTTACTGTTAGGATTCCGTGATATGTAACAGTATCGCAACTGCTGACAGTTATTCACAACTGTAACGTGTAATTAGTTACTGTTAGGATTCCGTGATATGTAACAGTATCGCAACTGCTGACAGTTATTCACAACTGTAACGTGTAATTAGTTACTGTTAGGATACCGTAGTATGTAACAGTATCGCAACTGCTGACAGTTATTCACAACTGTAACGTGTAATTAGTTACTGTTAGGATACCGTAGTATGTAACAGTCTCGTTAGTGTTAGCAAATCTTCAAAGATGGACTGTGACATAACTTACTTTTATTGGACACTGTGTTCTGTAACATTCGTAACTAACAGGAAGTTTTCAAAATTGCACTGTGTACTTAGCACCTCTTCGGACTTCACAGTCGGTAACAGCTTCACAGTTAGTGATATATCTTTACAATCAGAAAGTGTTTATCCGTAGAACATTGTGTTAAACATTAGTTTCACGTTTGTAAAAATGTTCTCGCAAATCATGACCGATATAGCTTTCTCTATCAGTTTAACACCTAGCATCGTAGGCTGAGTAACATCTCTAGACATTTTACAATTATTGCCGCATATCTGCAGTGTCATACAAGTTCCACAGCGGTAATTAATAGAAATACATAGAGTGAACAAAAACACGTGAACACGATCGTTATTAAAATAAATAAACCATTCATGCATCAATGTTACTAGTTTGTGAGCTTAGTCGATATTTAGAAATGTATTACTGTGTGAGGAAAATACTTTTTACTTGCAATGTATATGAAATACGTTTTCGTTTTGGCATCTTTTGTAACTAATTTATACCAGTACATCATAGAGCGACTTTTCAAATGAATAAAAGAAACAGAGTGGCGTGCTGCCACCTAGTAACAGTAAAAGTAATGTTCGTTATAGTGTGGTTTAAATTTTATTATACACACTTCTAGGAAAACCTGTAAGGGACTTTATAAATAATATTGTGTTAAGAAATACAACAAACCCAATACTATTCTCTAATGAGAAATATAATTAATTATAATTATAATTACGCTTCATCAGCAAAGGCATTCACGCCATAACAAGTGAAATATAAATGTCTGTGCTTTTGTAGAAACAATGTCTAAAACCTTGTTTAACAAATTGGTTTAGGACCTCACATAGAAGATAGCTGTATTTAATTACATACAATAGAGTTTTAATTAGTTGTAGTGTTTCGAGAATATTAACTTAAAAGCAAAGAAGTTTAAAGAATACTAAAAAAGTCAAATCTAAATTACTGTTTCTAAAATAATAAAAACAAAACTTGGCAAAATTGTATTGATGAAATCACAAATTTATTTGTACAAGTTATCAAAATGTAATTAATTAGCATTATTTTCATCATTAGCTGGCAGTTACGATACACCTCCTAGTCCTCGAGCAGTTCTTATACAATCAACTTACGATGAACCAAGATCCAATGCCCCTGTCAATGTGGACATTGATGTTTACGACGAACCGCAAGTCTCGTACTCCGTGAAAAAGACGTACGACACCCATGGATCGGGAAAAGTTCATGATTATGACCTTCCGAACTCTGAGGACTGTATTGATTATGCTGGGAAGGCTACGTCAAAGGGCGAATACGATATCCCTTTGTGTCCGACTAACAAGACTTCAGCCGTGGAGTTATACAACGTACCTCCATCAAGTCGGTCAAGTGGAGTCTCGTTGCTTTCAACAAGTTCGTCCTCACAATTATCTCCCACTAGTAGTCATTCCAGCCTGAATGCATCGCTTTCTTTGTCCAGTTTGTGTGGGTCGAACCGCTCCAGTATCGAACCTCAAACTAATGACTTGTACGACATTCCCCAAAGTGAACCTCGTCGAGTGGAGGAAATTACTGCTGGGTATTCTCCTGCCAAGAATGTGGCTAACACAACCTGGCCTTTACGTTCTCAGCCAAATTTGTATGATGTTGCTCCTAGTCCCCAGGCTCTCCAAACGTATGACTTGCCCCCCACACCCAGGCCCACACAAAAACCACATTTAGAAGAACCCTATGATGTCCCTCCCCAAGTCACTCGAGACATTAGCCCTTGCATTTCTAAGACACCTAGTGATGAAGTGGATACTGGGCAGAGGCTGTCGACTACAAGTACAGAATCCGTGCTACCACCACTCGAGGGCAAAGAGCTCCCCTTGGCGTTGGATGCTGCCATGGAGTTGTTAATGAATCGACATCAAGATGTCCAGGCAACGATTAATAAACTCTTTGGTTTTTTCAGCAGCTCTTGTAGGAAGCGACAGAAATTGGAGGAGAAGCTTTACGACATTCAAGTCACTTGTCAAAAACTCCGTACCGCACTAAGTGAATTCGTAGACTTTACTTACGGCGCGTTAGCCAACTCAACTCATGCTTCAGACAAGACCTTAAGCTATAAGCTATTCAAACTTATCAAACCGTTAGTAGACTCGAACAAAATTGTAGAAGCCACCACTCAGTCGCTTGATGAGAAAGGGTGGCTGATCATTGGTCTGATTTCAGAGGAGCCCGGAACACCCGATGAGCTAGATCAGCTTGTGGCTTGTGCTCGGGGACTTGTAGAAGACGTACGATTAGTTTCATCGTTTATCCAGGGAAACTCTTCTCTGATCTTCAAACGCTCTACTTTACTGCTAACCGATAAGTCTTCCTCCGCTCTCGAGACAGATGGACCAGGTAGCCAGCAGGCTGGCATCTTGACTAAGGGCTATCGCCTTCAGGAAAGGCCCCTTCCTTCCCCACCCGTGCAAATTACAAAGATCGACGATGAACTCCCTCTCGAGGGGAAAGAGTGGATGAACGATTATGATTATGTGAGTTTAGAATCAAAAGAAACTGTCAAAAAAGAAAATGACGAGATCAAAGCAGCCTTGCCTTCTGAACTTAGAAAATCTTTCGAGAATTTAGTGAAACAGTCTGAAGTTCAAGTTAAAGAAGATTACAAATCTTTTTACATAGAGAATTCCTCCAAGGACAAGTTTCATCGTTTAGACCCTAATGATCGTCAGCTTATCCACTTTTACTCGGCGCAAGTGGAGACACACATGCTTCACCTTACCAATGCTATTGATGCCTTCCTTACGACAGTAAAGAACAATCAACCACCCAAAATATTTATAGGTCACAGTAAGTTTGTAGTAATAGGAGCACACAAAATGGTCTACATAGGTGATACATTAAACCGTAATGTTTCCAACCCCGAATTAAAAACCCAGGTAATGGAGCGATCTAATACCTTGTGTGAATCCTTAAAAACTTTGGTATCAAACACGAAAAAGGCAGCTGTTCAGTTCCCTTCTGTAATAGCAGTTCAGGAAATGATAGACAGTGTGGTTGACGTGTCCCACGTGGCCAAAGCTCTGCAACTTTCCATCACCCAGGCTGCTTCACCCATGTAGATCACCTGCTAAGCCTATTTCCAACGGTTACTGCCACGTGCACTTGTAAATAACTTATTTAAAAAATAGTTTGGGCAGAAACTGATGAATTCAATAACATATTACGATACGTTTAGGCTTTTTTTCTAGTATTAGCATTCAATTCCTCTGCCTTTTTATAAATAGTATTGTATACGTACTTTCCACATTCACTGTAGCCAAAATTTGAAAGAAACTTAACTACGCTTTGAGAGAACCAGTATCACATTTTGACTCAGTAATTGGATAAGATCATTCGTGTAAACATTCTAGTTCCTGTTGTTTTACTTTTTTTTGCAGGAAGGGTCGGGTCGTTCTACAACAACCTTGTTTTTACATTCTTTAAGAGAAAGTAATATGAAACTTGTTATTTTTAAATTTTGATGCAGACTGTTTAGTTAAATCTAAAGTCCGATCATATTTTATTTCTTCTTTGAGCGAATAATTTTTTTTTCATTTATTTGAAACTGTTTCTTTTAAAGTGGTTTGTACAATAGCTGGAATTTGTTTAAAAAATACTTTATCGTTAATGAAGAAACTGATTTTGGTATTAAAGTTGTGCCTAAAATGAAGCTATTTTAGATGTTTGAGTAAAAAAAAGGTGTTATATTGAATTGTGATGACAATATTAATTAACGGGCTTGGAATTGCGATGTTTAAAAATGGCTTTAAGATTCTGTGTTAATGATCTCAAAATGGTCTTGCTGTACGTTATTGAGTTTTTAAACTAGTTAGTATTACGTACAAGTCAAATGTAGTACAGAGATAGTAAAAACAGATTACGTACAATCACACAGTGTCCTCTTCTCCCGTCAGGATCAAAACGTTTTGTATTGAGTTTATACATCACAGTTTGAATAGTTTCACAGGTCTGTTCATCTCAATGTTCTTTAAGTGAAAACATAAACTTGTTCTATTTTTATTTTTAACGATTTCGTCTCTTGTCACGTGATACATCAGTATTTGTAAAACGTTAATTATACAGCGCTTGCATTTTCTCGTATAACATTTGTTGACTGTTGGTAGCTAAAACAACGAATTCCGGCTGTTACTGAGAGTAACCTTTTCACAAGAATATACGTTTTCATTGAATTAGACACTTCATTAAACCCATTTTTCGTTTCGATAAAAAAATTATGCTACATAATGACAAAATATTAGTTTCATTTTCGGAAAGCAAAACGCCTGCTTTTTTTTTTTTTTTGCTATGGCTCTAAATAACATTCGTAACTTCCTTTTTTCAGTTATGCTTATTTATAAACTGTACTTGTGGCTTTTGTATAATTATATTTTTATGAACAATGTCAGTCCAGTATTATTGTTTACCCTGACAGCCATGCGATTATCAATGTTGTGTTGAATCCAGATTATTGTCGAACCAACAATGCAAGAAATATATTTTCTTTTGACGAGGCTTCTGTAATTAAAACTTTCACAATTTTCAATCACATTATTTTGAAACCCTAATTAGTATAATAAATCTAGTTGTTTAAACATTTGGAAACACTTTTCAACATTGATCGGTATTATATAATGTTTCGATCAGGTCTGGGGTGACCCCCAGAAACAATGAGTTAATAATGTATAACAATCACCCAAAAAATTCGTAAGCCTTTCACTCTCGTCATTTTGCCCCCCAGTGGCACAGCGGTATGTCTGCGGAATTACAACGCTAGCAACCGGGTTTTGATACCCGTGGTGGGCAGAGCACAG